GATGATGTAATGTCATACTGATGATGTAGTGTGATACTGATGATGTAGTGTGATACTGATGAAGTAGTGTGATACTGATGATGTAATGTGATACTGATGATGTAGTGTGATACTGATGATGTAGTGTGATACTGATGATGTAGTGTGATACTGATGATGTAATGTGATACTGATGATGTAGAGTGATATTGATGATGTATGTGATATTTATGATGTAGTGTGACACTGATGATGTAGTGTGATAGTGATGATGTAATGTGATACTGATGATGTAGAGTGATACTGATAATGTAGTGTAATATTTATGTAATGTGATACTGATGAAGTAGTGTCATACTGATGATGTAGTGTCATACTGATGATGTAGAGTGATACTGATCATGTAGTGTGATATTTATGTGGTGTGACACTGATGATGTAGTGTGATACAGATGATGTAGTGTGATACTGATGATGTAGTGTGATATTGATGATGTAGTATGATACAGATGATATAGTGTGATACTGATGATGTAGTGTGATATTGATGATGTAGTGTGATACTGATGATGTCGTGTGATACAGATGATGTAGTGTGATACTGATGATGTAGTGTGATATTTATGATGTAGTATGATACTGATGATGTAGTGTGATATTAATGATGTAGTATGATACAGATGATGTAGTGTGATACTGATGATGTAGTGTGATACTGATGATATTGTGTGATATTTATGATGTAGTGTGATACTGATGATATTGTGTGATACTGAAGATGTAGTATGATACAGATGATGTAGTGTGATACTGATGATGTAGTGTGATACTGATGATGTAATGTGATATTGATGTAGTGTGATACTGATGATGTAGTCTGATACTGATGAAGTAGTGTGATACTGATGATGTAATGTGATACTGATGATGTAGTGTCACACTGATGATGTAGTGTGATACTGATGATGTAGTGTGATACTGATGATGTAATGTGATACTGATGATGTAGAGTGATATTGATGATGTAGTGTGATATTTATGATGTAGTGTGACACTGATGATGTAGTGTGATAGTGATGATGTAATGTGATACTGATGATGTAGAGTGATACTGATAATGTAGTGTAATATTTATGTAATGTGATACTGATGAAGTAGTGTCATACTGATGATGTAGTGTCATACTGATGATGTAGTGTGATACTGATTAAGTAGTGTGATACTGATGATGTAGTGTGATACTGATGATGTAGTGTCATACTGATGATGTAGTGTGATACAGATGATGTAGTGTGATACTGATGATGTAGTGTGAGTGTGATACTGATGATGTAGTGTGATATTGATGATGTAGTGTGATATTGATGATGTAGTGTGATATTGATGATGTAGTGTGATACTGATGATGTAGTGTGATATTAATGATGTAGTGTGCTACTGATGATGTAGTGTGATACTGATGATGTAGTGTGATACTGATGATGTAGTGTGATATTGATGATGTAGTGTGATATTGATGATGTAGTGTGATATTGATGATGTAGTGTGATAGTGATGATGTAGTGTGATATTTATGATGTAGTGTGATACTGTGAATGTAGTGTGATATTGATAATGTAGTGTGATGCTGATGATGTAGTGTGATACTGATGATGTAGTGTGATACAGATGATGTAGTATGATACTGATGATGTAATGTGATATTGATGATGTAGTGTGATACTGATGATGTAGTGTCATAATGATGTAATGTGATACTGATGATGTAGTGTGATATTGATGTAGTGTGATATTGATGATGTAGTGTGATATTGATGATGTAGTATGATACTGATGATGATGTAGAGTGATATTGATTATGTAGTGTGATACTGATGATGTAGTGTGATAGTGATGATGTAAGTGTGATACTTATGATGTAGTGTGATATTTATGATGTGATACTGATGAAGTAGTGTCATACTGATGATGTAGTGTGATATTGATAATGTAGTGTGATACTGATACCATTGTGTGATACTGAAGATGTAGTTTGATATTGATGTAGTGTAATACTGATGATGTAGTGTGATACTGACGATGTAATGTAATATTGATGATGTATTGTGATACTGATGATGTAGGGTGATATTGATGTAGTGTAATACTGATGATGTAGTGTGATATTGATGATGTAGTGTGATATTGATGATGTAGTGTGATATTTACGATGTAGTGTGATACTGATGATGTAGTGTGATACTGATGATGTAGTGTGATAGTGATGATATAGTGTGATACAGATGATGTAGTGTGATACTGATGATGTAGTGTGATATTAATGATGTAGTGTGATACTGATGATGTAGTGTGATATTTATGATGTAGTGTGATATTTATGATGGTGTGTGATATTGATGATGTAGTGTGATATTGATGATGTAGTGTGATATTGATGATGTGATATGTGATAGTGTGATACTGATGGTAGTGTGACACTGATGATGTAGTGTGATACAGATGATGTAGTGTGATATTGATGATGTAGTGTGATAGTGATGATGTAGTGTGATACAGATGATGTAGTGTGATACTGATGATGTAGTGTGATATTGATGATGTAGTGTGATACTGATGATGTAGTGTGATACTGATGATGTAATGTGATAATGATGATGTAGTGTCATACTGATGATGTAGTGTGATACTGATGATGTAGTGTGATATTTATGATGTAGTATGATACAGATGATATAGTGTGATACTGATGATGTAGTGTGATATTGATGATGTAGTGTGATATTTATGATGTTGTGTGATACTGATGATGTAGTGTGATACTGATGATGTAGTGTGATACTGATGATGTAGTGTGTGATATGTAGTGTGATGATGTATAGTGTGATATTGATGTATGTATACAGATGTGATGATACAGATGATGTAGTGTGATACTGATGATGTAGTGTGATATTTATGATGTTGTGTGATACCGATGATGTAGTGTGATACTGATGATGTAATGTGATATTGATGATGTAGAGTGATATTGATAATGTAGTGTGATATTGATGATGTAGTATGATACAGATGATATAGTGTGATACTGATGATGTAGTGTGATATTGATGATGTAGTGTGATATTTATGATGTAGTATGATACAGATGATGTAGTGTGATACTGATGATGTAGTGTGATATTGATGATGTTGTGTGATACTGATGATGTAGTGTGATACTGATGATGTAGTGTGATACTGATGATATAGTGTGATATTTATGATGTAGTGTGATACTGATGATGTAGTGTGATATTGATGATGTAGTGTGATACTGATGATGTAGTGTGATACTGATGATGTAGTGTGATACTGATGAAGTAGTGTGATAGTGATGATGTAATGTGATACTGATGATGTAGTGTGATACTGATGATGTAGTGTGATGCTGATGATGTAGAGTGATACTGATAATGTAGTGTGATATTTATGTAGTATGATACTGATGATGTAGTCTGATACTGATGAAGTAGTGTGATAGTGATGATGTAATGTGATACTGATGATGTAGTGTGATACTGATGATGTAATGTGATACAGATGATGTAGTCTGATACTGATGAAGTAGTGTGATACTGATGATGTAATGTGATACTGATGATGTAGTGTGATATTGATGAGGTAGTGTGATATTTATGATGTAGTGTGATACTGATGATGTAGTGTGATACTGATGATGTAGTGTGATATTGATGATGTAGTGTGATACTGATGATGTAGTGTGATATTAATGATGTAGTATGATACTGATGATGTAATGTGATATTGATGATGTAGTGTGATACTGATGATATAGTGTGATATTGATGATGTAGTGTGATACTGATGATGTAGTGTGATGATGATGTAGTTTGATACTGATGATGTAGTGTGATATTTATGGTGTAGTGTGCTAATGATGATGTAGTGTGATGCTGATGATGTAGTGTGATACCGATGATGTAGAGTGATATTCATAATGTAGTGTGATACAGATGATGTAGTGTGATACTGATGATGTAATGTGATATTGATGATGTAGTGTGATACTGATGATGTTGTGTGATATTGATGAAGTAGTGTGATACTGATGATGTAATGTGATACTGATGATGTAGAGTGATATTGATGATGTTGTGTGATAATGATGTTTTTTGATACTGATGATGTAGTGTGATACTGATGATGTAGTGTGCTACTGATGATGTAGTGTGATACTGATGAAGTAGTGTGATAGTGATGATGTAATGTGATATTGATGATGTAGTTTCATACGAATGATGTAGTGTGATACCGATGATGTAGAGTGATATTGATGATGTAGTGTGATACTAATGATATAGTGTGATACCGTGAATGTAGTGTGATACTGATGATGTAGTGTGATAGTGATGATGTAGTGTGATATTTATGATGTAGTGTGATACTGTGAATGTAGTGTGATATTGATGATGTAGTGTGATACTGATGATGTAGTGTGATACAGATGATGATGTAGTGTGATATTGATGATGTTGTGTGATATTTATGATGTAGTGTGATATTGATGATGTTGTGTGATACTTTTGATGTTGTGTGGCATTTGCAAATCAAGAAGAAACTGTGGGCATATAAAAAAAATTTTACCCCTGTAAACATTTTTTTGTCCTTGTCCATCATCATACCCAATAAATTAAAACAAATTGATATATCAACAAGTTTGTTTTTGCATTCCCTGAGTCGTTTTGGCCTTGCGAGTAAGGCAAGAGCCTACCGCTGCCGTCTTAAACGTTAAGTAAAGGGAGATAATCGCTCAAGCATCGGTCAAGGAAGCACAACACTAACTTTCCCCTTGCAACAAAAAATAGCGATGGAATATCTTATGAAAAATTGAATACTATTATTGTATTTTAACTTTAAATTGAAGTAAGATCAAAGTTAAGATAAACAAACCGTACCTATAATGTGATGCTATAACTTACGGTATGAATTTCTAAATAGAAATATTTGACGTTCAATTGCAGCTTTCTTACCTGCCCCGATTCTGTTTGGTTTGGTGATCGATACAACTTGCCTTATATGGATGAAAGGATGCAGTGGAACCGGCGCGTGCCTATTTTATGATATCATCGACTTCCGGGTCAAAATTCATCTATTTAGTATGATGTTTTACACCATCGCTTCAGGATCCACCCTGTTTGCGTTTTTTAAAACCAGAAAATGGAAAACATGGAGACCACGTGGTAGTAAAAAGGAAACATCAGTTCTGTGTGTATCTGCAAAATGAGGAAACATTTCACAAGAATTACAATCCGTATCATTATGAATGTATCTTAACGATATTAAGTGGGAAAGTATATATGTAATTTTAATACCTATTATGGCGTATCCCACTGTACACATTGTCTCACATACTCTTCAGATATTCAGATACATGTGCTGGTCTATTTTACAATATTATTAATAAGAATTAGATCATAAACCTTGAGTGTTTAGTTTAAATTCCTCACAATTTACCTCCAAATACTCCTTGCATATATTCCAGTACAAACATAAATACTTAGGTCTACTTCGTTATTGTACCTGATATGATTGGGAAGTAGTAATGCTACAGTGAAGGAACGGAACATTCATGTCGTCTATATGTCTAAAAATGAACTAGCTTTGAGATAGCAAGTGGTAGACACTGCTGGATGTTCTCGAGGGGTGCCGTAACCTTTTTGTCAATATTCATTCGAATAGTGACACGGTTCAGAATATACACATGTACTTGACGCAGTTCTAAATTTCAGATACATAAAAATTACGAGCTTCCGATCTTCCACAGTAGCCTCGTAGGCTACAAAATTTAGGTCCTCACTGGCGAGTCCTAGAAGGACGAAACAACTGTATGATGTAGCATAACTGACAAGTCCTAAAAGGACGAAACAACTGTATGATGTAGCATCACTGACAAGTCCTAGAAGGACGAAACAGCTTTATGATACAGTTTAATTCATTGCTTGACTCTACTGTATTTAACAATAAATCATTATAAGGTGATGTTCACTTGTGTGTCTTTTGTACAATCTTTATTTGGAAAGCTTTTGCTACCTGTCCTGATAACGTCTCTACGATATTCGGTCTCCTATATTATGGAGATAAGCCTCAAACTGGACAATATATGTGAGACAGACCGAAACCCGTCAGGGTCGAGATCTTTCCTCTCTCACATAGCGTACAGTCTGAGGTTTATCTCTAACTTTAAACATGAACCTCACAATAGCCTAAAATTCATCGTTGTGCAGTTTACCATTTCTTTCCTTTTGAAACTTTCACGATGGCTCTACCTCCGTTTAATCAACCACATCAACGTTGCTAATCACAGCCAAATGTAACAGCATATCTAAAGTGTTATTACATTTAGCTGTGCTATTTGTGATGAATAACATTGATATGATGTAGCACACAGAGAATTCCTTGGACTTGTTTAGTTCACTAATGTGAACGTATTTTCACTAGGTTGTCTAACAGTGTAGCAGGACAATCCTTCCCAGTCTATGTTTTTCAACTAATGGAATTGAATAATACAAATAGTCTTTTAAGTGATGTTTTATTGGTGCAACAACAGATTATCAACGAAACAATGAGTTAGAATATGGTCAAAATGTGACAAAAGGGGATGAACTTCTTAACTGAAAGGTGTTCTTAAATCAACTGATATCCACACATGTATTACTGCAATAAGCTTCTTTACACACATTCTCGAAATGAGTGATTTAATTACATAACAGTATGTTGTTCACACAGAAACCAGAGTTCCTTCACTCGGAAAATATAAGTGTGTGCTATATATTGGATTAATACTGATGGGAAATGTCTCATTCATCACCCAAGCATGGAATACGTAAAAGTATGCTGAATGAACCAAAGTGTGGTTTGATTCACATCAGGAAGTACAACTGCAGTTCCATCATCTTTAAAACATTGAAAATATTTTGTGTAAAAGATGAAAATTCTAAAACCACAGACACTAGATAGCTCAACATGAATACAGGAAGTGTATCTTTTTGGAAGTTTTGGAAACTGTCACCTTCTTCTTAATAATTATTTTTTATACATGTGTATTCTTTTCTTGGTGCATTCTGTATCAGGTGACATTCTACAAATTTTCTGTACTTAGAAGAAACTGGAAGTTATGCGTTCATTAATTATGTGTTCTGGACTGTATCCATATTAGGACAATAGAGAGACCGAAAAATCTCGAGTTACCTTGAGCTATCCGATAAGTGAATGGCCAATAAAATCAATATAGAACAGTAACAGGTAACATGCTCGGTTAAAGTACAAAAAGAACAATGGATGATGTCACAAACGTGTTTTATTCTCCCTGTACTTTTCAGGAGTCTCCGTGTAAATCTTGCTTTTGTTCATTTTTTGCCCTCGTTTTATTGAAATTTAGTTTAAATGTTTTGATTTTTGAAAAAGATTTTTTGAAGATGCAGTTTAATTCATAATTAAGTTCTACAGTAACTAATTCCAAATTTGTATTAAAATATGCTACTAATTGTATGTCTTTGTCCAATCACTGCAATAAATATTCTCAATATTAAACCGCTGTATACCGATAGTGCATTGTATTGTTAATCAATACTAGATAAACAAACAACTAGGGTTAATCTGTAAATAAGTATGATGCGTCAAACTTAATTATAGTCAAAAGTGACATTCCAATGTGAACTTGGTTCAAACGATGTAATTTTATTATGACGTAGTTTTTCGTATATTATCCTTTTATACTTTACAATATAAACAAACTGATCAATCACTTTCTTTTCTCACTTCCCCAAGTCTCGGCGACATTGCATCACTAGCATCACGTGACAGCAATGACCAGATAGACAAATGGGGGATACATATCATAGTGAATTAGTTTTTTCTATCACGAGCGAGATTTTACACCCCATTTAGTTTGAAATAAGATAGGAGTGCTCTAATTGATTGTGGTTGATGAGGATTGACGTTAGATGTCGTGTGAAGGAGTGATATGTCACTTACATGTCCATGTATGTATCGTGGTGGGCGAGAATAAAGTCACGTGATATGTCAGTGATATATGCTGATGTGTTGTCTGACTTTTACAAAGCGTTGTTGTATAATTCACCAACTTACTGTAAAATATAACTTAATCAAATATCAGATTTCTATAAAAGGTACCGGAATTCCTGTTTGAGGCACTGGACTCTGTCAATCTCAGTTAAACAAAAATTTTAATTTTCGATCCTCCCCCATCGACACGCTACAGTTCATGGCCAGCGTATCGTTATTCAGATAGCGGAAATCACAAGTCTAACTTCGAAACAAAGTGAACTGTCTTTTTGTGTTTTTGTAATGCAAAAATCGGGCGATTTTTAAACGACGTCTTTGAAATCGCTGCCTAAAACAAGATGGAACGTTCCTGATTTAGTTACTTTTAACGTTTGGAAGATGATGGCAACAAAAAAAAAGAATCAGTTGGGGACAATTCGGTCATGGGGAGTTTAATAGCGATTCTAGCGGACTATATTCACATAGAACTTGAGAACATGAGGAAACTGACGGACTTACTCGTAAAATAGTGTTTCAAAAGATACAGGATGGTGAAAAGTACGAGGAAGTTTACGGACGTTATAATGATCTCTTTGAAAGATATTCTATTCTTTGTGCGATATAGAGCTAGATGTGTTTGACGCTCGTTAGTTTGCCTGTTGGTTCTGTTATTGCATATTTTGTTCTGATTTGAGAGGATGACATAATTTACATGGATTGACCAAGCTTTATATAGCAGGTGTCGTCGGTGAACCAGAATGCGCTTACTCCTTCGGAACACCTGGTCTTATTCTTATTTTTTCCGGGGATCTCCCAGTAACTAGCTCTTTTGTTCATATTTTGCTGTAGTTTTTCTTTTAATTTGAGATTGAATTATGATTATGTTGACGTAATGGTGTTTTTTTTCTTTGTTTTTGGGGGTTTTTTTTTAGTTTTTTTAGTTGTGTATGACAATGCGGGATTGAAGTAGGTCAAAACAGATAAAGGCGAAGGGAACAAATACATAGTGTTTCTGGAATCAGGTCAGCATTTCAAGGCAATTTGAATTTGCTTTTAAGTATCTTTACATTCAGGTTTCCTTGCCGATATCGCATAGTCCATCTATTATTCAGTGGATATGCCCATGTAATATTTGTGCGTATATGTCACTGGTGTAGTATACTTTGGGACGTTTTTCATTAGCTGCTTCTCTCACAAATCAATTGTGACGTCATCACATTGACAATGACGTTACGCCACAGCGAAATGACTCCCTCGAAGCTTTAACGTTGGTTCGTCAAGACACACACGAAAAAAGCCTACAAGACAACTTTCATAAAATCTCATTTAAAATGAATACTCATTTCAGATCCAATATGTGTTGTTAAAACTGGTTGTCGGTGAAATATATTTGTGATCATGTTTGTTAATGACCTTATATGGTGTAATCATGGTTAGTAAATTTCATCTAAGGCGCGTACAAATTGTAAGTGACCTTATATGGTGTAATCATGGTTAGTAAATTTCATCTTAAGCGAGTACAAATTGTAAGTGACCTTATATGGTGTAACCATGGTTAGTAAATTTCATCTTAAGCGAGTACAAATTGTAAGTGACCTTATATGGTGTAACCATGGTTAGTAAATTTCATCTTAAGCGAGTACAAATTGTAAGTGACCTTATATGGTGTAACCATGGTTAGTAAATTTCATCTTAAGCGAGTACAAATTGTAAGTGACCTTATATGGTGTAATCATGGTTAGTAAATTTCATCTTAAGCGAGTACAAATTGTAAGTGACCTTATATGGTGTAATCATGGTTAGTAAATTTCATCTTAAGCGAGTACAAATTGTAAGTGACCTTATATGGTGTAATCATGGTTAGTAAATTTCATCTTAAGCGAGTACAAATTGTAAGTGACCTTATATGGTGTAACCATGGTTAGTAAATTTCATCTTCAGCGAGTACAAATTGTAAGTGACCTTATATAGCGTTTGAACGAATATGTTAATGTCCTGATTTAGTATATGAATGGTCAGTAAAATTCCTTAAGAGATAAATATAAATTTTTTATTGACCTTATATGGTATAAATGTGGTAAGTAAAATTCCACGTGACCTTTAATGGTATGAAATGTTCTTTGTAGGCAAATATCGGATGAGAACAAATTTGTTATACCCCATGAGGTATATCCACAGTGCTATCAAAATCTGTGTCCTTCCCATCGATATTAGTTTTACTAACCATGTAATATAAACCACAGTGGGTCGTAAACAATTCATATAACGAGTCAGAGATAGGCAGTGTTTAGGTTGATGATCCTGGTGTGAATTTTGCTATTTTAGATAGTAACATTCGTGATTTCTAAACCTATGGTGTTTACAAGTCACAATTCATTCGATATTCAAAATTTATCTCCCAAAACAATGGCTTCC